ACATACGCTATGGACTGTATTATGTCATCACAAAATTTTTATGTAAAAGCCCTAACCCCTAAGATGATAGTATCTGGAGACAGGGCCTTTGGGAGTTGGTTGGGGTAAAATAAATTCAGGAGGGTTGGGCCCTCTTGAAGGAATTGGTGGCATTAAAAGAAGAAGAGAGAAATTGCTGTCCCTGCCATGTGAACATAGCTAGAAGGTGGCCTTCTGCAAGCCAGGAATAGAACCCTCATCAGAAACCAAATCTCCTAGCACCTGATCTTGGACTTCCCAGCCTCCAAAACTCTGAGAAATGCCAGTTGCTTAAACTGCCCAGTCTATGGTATTTTATTTTTATTTTTATTTTCTGAGACAGTGTCTCACTCTGTTGCCCAAGCTGGAGTGCAGTGGCATGATCTTGGTTCACTGCAACCTCTGTCTCCTGGGTTCAAGCGATTCTCCTGGCTCAGCTGAGTAGCTGGGACTATAGGCAGGTGCCACCATGCCCAGTTAATTTTTTTGTTTTTGTTTTTGTTTTCGTTTTTGTATTTTTAGTAGAGACGGGGTTTCACCATGTTGGCCAGGATGGTCTCTTAACTCCTGACCTCAGGTGATCTGCCCACCTTGGCCTCCCAAAGTGCTGGGATTACAGGCATGAGCCACCACACCCAGACTATGGTATTTTATTATACCCATCTGAGCAAACTAACGTGACTAAATGTCCCAAGGCTGATATTCAGAGTTCTTTGAAGGTGTGGCTGCCACAGGAACATGCAGTCTGCAGTGGCTATGAAACTTGCCAGATGGCCAAAGCTGGCTTACAAGAAGCCATATGCCCTTGCTGGAGGGTGTGGGCAGGCTGTGGCTGGTCCGTAGAAGCAAATGCCTGGTAGGAAATATAGTTGCCAGAAGCTGCATCTTGACCAAAGGCAGAAATGACCACTGTGTGGAGAAAGCATGCCCTGAGAATGTGGCTACTGATGACCAAGTGGGCTGCTGGGTGCCTACACTGAATAATCCTAAAATCAGAATCCAGAAAGTGCGTTTCTACTGCTCTCTTCTTACAGTGTCTCTCCAGCTTCCTCTACTGGCAAAGCCAAACACTGGGCCAGTCAGTCAAATTCATGTTATAGGATCCAGGTTTACTACCATAAAGTCCGCAAAGGTAGATTTAGAGCTGATAAACAATAAATTGATACCTGGCACAGCAATGAATGGAGTGATCAGGCAAACCTGTCATTAAATTTGGGATGATAACTAGTGAATCTGTCTCTGTTCCAGATCCTCTCCAGAATCCTTCAAGGACAATATGTAAGGAATTCACTGATAAAACATTGTATGCTTGGTCACAAGTAGCTAGAGAAAGCAAACTACTTCCGGCCTGGCGCGGTGGCTCACGTCTGTAATCCCAGCACTTTGGGAGGCTAAGGCGGGTGGATCACGAGGACAGGAGTTCAAGACTATTATAGGTGGGAGAAGAATTTTATGCTGCTTTCCCCAACGGCCACTAGATATGCCAATCAGGTGTGCATGGTCCATGCTATGACCTGTGAGTATCAGATTAACGTCAGCTTGTACAGCAAGCCCACAGAACTGGAAACCTCCCTCCAGTCCTCTGCCCCCCTCCATCTCCTTCAACACAGAAGCTTCAGGTCAGGAAAGGAAAGGCCATCTTTCACATGCCGAAGAGCATCAGCTTCTTGAGGGGTGCCTCATGCGGGTACAGCCTGCATCTTCTCAGTCTCTAAACCATCCCCTGCTTTGGACCTCTCCTTTGCAACTGTGGCCCTGCAGCCCTCTTTGAGAAGAGGGATGCAAGAGCCTTAGAGTTCCCATCTATTGATGCATAGGAGGAGTGAAGGCTCTCAGGACCTCCATTCAGGACTCCTGGAGGGGGTAGCAATGCTTCCAGAGTTCATAGCACCCAGATGCACCTGACCTTAGGTCTGTTATCCCAGGATGCTCATCCCTGGGTCCAGGATGATGTGCTTTTGGTGCCGGAAGTTTCCGAGTCCCACTTTTCAGATGGATAACACAGCCAAAGAAATCAGACTTCATGTTAAAGGGAGACAGGCTTCTGGTCCCTACTCTTCCTGCACTATGCTGACAGCTGCCCTTCTGGTAGGAGCTGATATAGGCAAGTTTCATGATAACAAGAGGAAGAGATTACCCATGGCTCTTCTGGAGGTACCAGGCTTGTTTGAGTAATTTTCCGGTTTTGGGCATTACCAGACATTGGATCCACATTCTACTTCATTGCTAGCTACAAGAACTTGTTCGAGTTACTTCTGAGTCTCAGATTCCTCATGGGTTTATTATCCCTGAGGATTAAATAATCTATGTAAAATGTCCAATGCAAAGAAGGTATTCAGTAAACATCTCTGAAGAGGTGAGATAAACTTTTTTCCCTAGAATTCAATTCTAAATGGAACTCACTTTGTGGATCCTTACAAGAAACACTACATAGTGTAAAGGAAATGTCTTAGTGCAATTTCACAAAAGACATGGAGTTATTATTTGGGAGGCTGGACCTTTTGCTGTAGTTGTTTTGATCATCTCATATTCACCTTGTTGGTGAAGGAGGGATCTCCCCCACTAAATAGTAGGAGACAACCAGACACATAGCATGAGACACTGGACAGATGAAACTGGCAGCAGTTTATTAGTCACATCTGCTCAGAGCCCAAGGAGGGAGGTCACTGCATGCCATGCAGGGTCACAGGAGAGTTGCATTTGGGAATAGAGTGAATCAGCAGGGGCTGTGGAAGGCAGGCTTTGTAGTAACAAGAGGAAGAGGCGATTCCTGGTTCCTCCAGATGTGACAGGCTTGTTTGAATAATTTTCCAGGCTGGAGGGCAGTGAGCCAGGTTGAGACCCAGGTGGGGTACCACTGACTGGCCGATAGGGGAACTCAGAAGGGGAAGGAGGCTTCCTGCTCAGTGGGTGAACAAGGTGCACACTATCTGACAAGAGCAGGGGACTGCGTGGCCAGGCCTCTGAGGCCCTGAGAAGCCCATAGATGTCAAGGCAGCACATAGGATTTCAGGTCTTACAAGACAGAAATAAAATATTGAGTGATAACTCTTCAAAGAGAATATGACAAACATAATTTTACAAAATGCTCTAGGAACAATGTGCATATTGTTATCTCTATGTTTTATGATTTACATGGCTAAAGTCTGATTATGTTATATTTCTATAACAGATAAAACCATTATCATTCATTTTCATAATTCACTATTGAAATGATTTGATTATCTTCATGCCAGGAAAGAGAAAAAAAAAAAAAAAAACCACCTTCCTATTTAGATAGTTAGAGACTACTCTATTTACACTCCCCACTCCCACCTCTTACTGCACTTGACTGGACTATCCGCAAGCCAGTGCAAAGAGGCATGTGCTTCCCTGAGGAACAGGGCGCCACCCTGTGGCCCCTGGCTGTAACACTCAGAGTCTCTCTGCAGTGGGAGAATCACATGAGCTGATTATTCCCCACCTTTCAGAGCTCTTTCCAAGTCCAAGTGTTGGGCAGAGGAGGAAGAGGAATGAGAGTAGCAAACCCGGCAACCTCCGATACTCCCGCTTTCCTCTCTCAGCCCACATACAACGTGGATGTTTCCTTATAATCCTCAGTCCAATTCTCTCCCTGAAGCTAGCTAGCTGGCTTTGGTGCAAAGGGAAAAGTGGGCCAGTTATGGAAAGAAAATATGGGTTGTGTCAGTGAAGTTCTGAGGGCTCAGGGTCTTTCTGGCTGCAAGGGGGTTGATGGAATAAGTCTTTTTAGCTGTGCCCTAGAAAACAATATAACCCTCCCTATTCAATCTAAATCATCAGTGTGTTGCCTTATCACTGATCACAGCAGTTGCATTTCAAGCCTGTAACACAAATGGCCACAGAAAGCTTAACGTCCTTTTCAAAAAATATTTCAAATATAGAACGACATGTGATGTTTACCTGTGAAGCTGTCTCAGACTACATTACTGTGAACAGAACATGTATAATCATCTCTGCCTCCTGATAGCAAGTGTAAATTTTCAGAGAAAGTGGATAGTTGTACATTTGAATAGGCTTGTGACCCACTGTGATCCCTGTGAAGGCAAACTATGATTAAAACAGAAACACCCAGGAAATTGGACTGAATTCTCACTGGTCTCGGTTAACTGCTCTCTCACCCTCTGTGCCAGCTTCTGAAGAGCTGGAATAGAGGTCGCTTCTGAAAATTAATTTTTCTCTTTCTTTCTTTCTCTTTCTTTCTTTTCTTTCTTTCTTTCCTTTCTTTTTTCTTTCTTTCTTTTTCTTTCTTTTCTTTTTCTTTCTTTTCTTTCTTTCTCTTTCTTTCCTTCCTTCCTTCTCTTTCTTTCTTTTTTCTTTCTTTCTCTCTTTCTCTCTTTCTTTCTTTCTTTCGACAGTCTCGCTCTCTCGCCCAGGCTAGAGCGCAGTGGCACGATCTCAGCTCACTGCAACCTCCACCAGCCAGGTTCAAGTGATTCTCCTGCCTTAGCCTCCCAAGTAGCTGGGACTATAGACGTGCACCACCATGCCCAGCTAATTTTTGTATTTTTAGTAGACACAGGGTTTCACCATGTTGGCCGGGCTGGTCTCAAACTCCTGGCCACAGATCATCTGCCCATCTTGGCCTCCCAAAGTGCTGGTTACAGGTGTGAGCCACCGTGCTGGGCCACTTCTGAGAACTGCTGAGTCTTGCTCACCATACTGCCTCCCCAGTCTCCATTTCACTTTCTATTGTTCCATTAAAAATGGGCCCATTTGTCAATACTATTGAACAGAGAAGACAGAAAATAACATGTATCTTCTTGTGTTTGGGAAAACAGAAGGATAGCATTCTGTGAGGGTGGCACCATATACAAAGTGAAGAGACAGCAGATAGCTCTGACAGTTGGAATATATTGGTGTGGGCAGTGGGGAGAGGGTAACACCTCATTTCAAGCAGAGGGGTTTGACTAAGTGGTCACTGATACCACCTGCAAAGTGACCACAAAATCCTTGGAGACAAGTTCAGACTCTAGAAAACATTTAACATGCAAACACACACACAAGGGTTCTCAACAAGGAATTTCAAAATTAGATTCCTAACATCTCATTTTTGACTGCTGCAATAATAAAGTCACTTTGGGTCACAGGCACACTATAAAGAGTGGAGGAAATGTAGGTCACTAAGAGAAAAGAGAAGGACTATATCCAATGACTACCTATGTCCTTATGGAGACGAAAACCGGCCACAGAAGAGAATACCATTGGTTTTGCTGTGCTGGATGAAGAAAAGGAAGGGATGGTCTGCACAGAACCTGAGGGAGTAACTGGCACAACATAAAACTATTTCTTCGGTGGTAGCTGCTGCTGCTTCTGTACCTTCCTCATTGACCTCCACATAGGACTTGTGTATGACCTTGGACAAGTACAGATCCTTCTTAGATGACATTCCTGAGAAGTCTGCCCTGTCCTGTTCAAAGGCATCGACCACGCCCATACTGCGAAGGACGTCCTCCATGTTGTAAGTTTCCTCTAGTTTAAATCTAGGAAGGAAAACTTCCATCTCTCGTTCATGCATCTTGTCTGGGTTTGTCCATTCTATGAATCTCTCATAAGAAAGTTTTTTCTCCACCTAGAAGAAGAGTGTTGGATGTTTTAGGGTCTAGATCAGTGTTACCCAATACAGTTTTCTGCTATGATGTTAACGATGTATGGCCATGCTGCCAAATGTGATAGCCATGAGCCAAATATGGCTATGGAGCACTAGAAGTGTGTGTAGTATAAAGGAAGCCTGGATTTTTAAAATGTTATTTAATTTTAGCTAATGTAAATATAAATAGTTATAGGTGGCTAGTGGCTACCATATTGGACTGCACACATATGGATGACAGCACAGTAATGCTAAACCATTCAAATATGAATTGATTTTATATTTCTGTGCTTTGACTCTTCATTTCCAGAAACTTAGTCAAACCATTTCCCTGAGGCAGAATCTTACAGTTTGGCTGCATTTATATAAGAACAGCTGTTCTTACAAAGTTTGGTGTTGTAGCTTAACAGAAGCATGTTGAGGTAGGACATCTCAGACTTGCCTTTTCTTCCATCCAAACTTTCTTCCAACGAATCCATCATCATTTTCTGTTAATTTAAATTTCCAAATCTCTCTCTCATCTGGCCCTTACTTCATCTCTGCTGCCACTGCCTTCATTCAGGCCCTTGTCATGTCTTGCTTGAAAGGCATAGCAACATCCCTTCTGACCTATCTCTATTATCGATACTTCCAACTCATCTATTGCAGGCAAAAGGATTAGTTTTCTAGAAACTCAAATTACTCTCTAGCTAAATTTTTCATTGACTCTCTACAACCTTGCTATTCAGTGTGGTCCATGGGCTAGCAGCCTCAGCATCGCCGAGGAGCTTGGTGGAAATGCAGATTCTCAGGCTCCTCCATTCCAGTCTTACTAAATCAGAATCTTCTTTCTAACAAGATCCTCAAATGATACACGGAGTCACAGCAGCTGTTCCCCCACATGACTGCTTTCTAAAGAGCAAACTTACAACTATGGGGCAAGGTTGTGGAGAAGACTACTAATATTAGTCAATGGCATACTCTGTGCATCGAAACAAATGCATTATATATACTATGTCTTCCATCCTATGACATCCCTCATAGGGAGGTACTGCCACCATTTTCCATAGGAATAAACAGCCTGAAAGAGTACAGATTTCTAAATTGTAAAGCAGGACATTGAACTCTGACCTGGTTCAGAGTTCAGAGTTGACCCTCAACCTGAGCCCATTCTAGGATAAGAGTATTTTCTGAATTGTGTTCAACATTTAGAACACCACCCCACTGGATGTAATCATGAAAAGAGAAAAGAGCATGTGGCCAAATATGTCAGGGAAACACTGGTAAAAGCAAATTTTCAAAGTTTTTTTCCTAAAAGGCTTGTGAGAGCCTCTACTATGATAAAATGCATACTTTGAACACTCATTACCATTTTCAAATCAGTGTCTTCATTGGGAAGCAAAATGATCATATTCAGTTCCTTTCCAACATAGGGAAGCACTAGAATTTGGCTGGATATTTTCCTTACATAGGTCATTTTAAAGATGGATTCCTTAAACATCATTTGCACAGGTTTTTCTTTGTTCTAGAAAGGAAACAGATACACATTAAGTTGAAGCACAAGAGTTGAATATTGAGCATAATCAACAGAGTTGGTTACTTTCTGCCCCTACAAATGCTTTCTTTCTTTGGTCTTTAGAACCCCGTATTAGACCCTTCCTTTACTGGTTCATGGTCATTACCTCAGTCTCCAAACACTGGGCTACCCAGGGCTCAATCCTTACCTTGCTTTCTGTTGGTGATCTTGAAGGAGATCACGATATGCCACTCTGAAATATACCACTTTGGTTTAAGAATATTTTGAACTGAAGGCATTAGAGTTCCTGAAATAGCCTATCTGCCTAAAAGCAGAATCTCCCCGAAAAAACTCAATTTTCATTATTCTCTTCCTTGGTAACAATTCTAATTTTCTTAGAGATGAAAAGTCTGCACACACCCAGCTAGATATTGTCAAAAGCCTATTACCTCTGCCATCGATTCTGCTCCAAAAGGATCCATTTATCTTTCCACAAAAGGCATTTGTTTTTCCCAAGTGCCCTTTGTTCCCCTCCCTTTCTCCTATAAAGTTGGGTAAAAATACCACAAATTCTAATGACTTCTTGAAATTACTTATCACTGAGTTTTCCCATGTACGTGTGTGATGCACAAGTTAATAAATTTCTGTTCGTTTTTCTCTTGTTAATTCTCTTTTGTCACTCTACAAGGTCCCAGCCAAAGAACTTGCGAATATAGAGGAAAACGATTTCTTTTCACCCCTATCATTTCATTTAGTCTTATGAATTTAAATATAAAACCCAAATCTGCACCTCTGGCCTGGAGCTCACCTCAGTAGTCCAAATTCATAAATTTCACTGCCCTACTCAACATCAGCATCTGAACATATAAAACCAACCTCCAGTCTAACTTGTAACACTGGGCTCCTCACAACCCCTTCCCAATCTGCTCCATCTTTTTCTGTCCCATCTCAGTTGAGGGGGACACCATCTTTCCAGTTGTCGGATACCCTGGAATGAATGTTGACTCCCATCTTTCTCTCACAACACATATCTGACCCTTGGCAAATTATATCAGCTCCATTTTTACAACGTAACCAAAATCTAACCTGTGCATCCTACCTCCGCTGCTATCTTCCTAGTCCTGGATAGTGCAATAAACTCGTAAGTGATTGCCTTATTTCTGCCCTTATCCTCCCTGTGATTATTCTCAACACAGGAGCCTGAGAGACCCTGTTAAGACATAAGTCACATCACTCCTCAACTGAAAACCCTCCTGACTCAGAGTGAAAGCTGAAGTCTTTGAAAAAACTGGCAAATCATGTCAGGAGCTTGTCCTCCACTGCCTCTCTGATCTCACCTCTTACTGCACTTCCTTTGCTTGTCTGCTACACTCAGAGTGGTTGCTTCACGGATCCATGGACAAACTATCTCAACTCTGCCCACTGAACTCATTCCCCCAGAACCTGTAACACATATGGCCTCACCTCCTTCTGTCCTTGTCTCAAATACCACCTCCTTCAGTGAGGGATTCCTTGAGACCCCTACCGGAAGTTGTGTTGCCCCACCTCAACTTTCTATCACCTTTTCTTTGTACCTGTCTCCATAGCACTGCTTTTTAATATGTGTTTACTGTCTTTCTCCCCGAGGAACATGTAAGCTCCATGAGGAGAGGGACACTTCACAGATTTTGAACATGGCTGGAATAGTACCTAGCACAATACATGACATATAGTGAGCGCTCAATCACTGTTCGTTAAATAAATGAAGAAACAAACTTAACAACAAAAATACTGAAAAAAAAAGAAAAATTAACACAACTTACTAGAAGAACACCACATCTGTTGCTAATGCATCCTCAAACAGTAAGAATGATTCGAGGACCATGATTATATTCTACACAATAATTCTGCTCAATTGCTGAGTGAGTATCCCTTATCTGAAATGTATGGGGCCAGAAGCATTTCAGATTTTCGATTTTTTTCAGATTTTGAAATATTTGTATTATATCTACTGGTTGGGCATCCTTAATCTTTTTTGTGTGTGTGTGACAGAGTCTCGCTCTGTCACCCAGGTTGGAGTGCGGTGGTGCGATCTCGGTTCACTGCAACCTCCACCTCCCAGGTCCAAGCGATTCCCCTGTCTCAGCCTCCCAAGTAGCTGGGACTACAGGTGTGCCCCACCACGCCCAGCTAATTTTTTGTATTTTTAGTAGAGATGGGGTTTCACCATGTTAGCCAGGATGGTCTCGATCTCCTGACTTCGTGATCCACCTGCCTCTGCCTCCCAAAGTGCTGGAATTACAGGTGTGAACCACCGAGACTGTTCCGAGCATCTTTAATCTTAAAATCAGGGGGGAGGGATAGCATTAGGAGAGATAGCATTAGGAGATATACCTAATGTAAATGACGAGTTAAAGGGTGCAGCACACCAACATGACACATGTATACATATGTAACAAACCTGCATATTGTGCACATGTACCCTAGAACTTAAAGTATAAAAAAAAAAAAAAAAAAATCTATAATCCACAATGCTTCAGTGGCCATTTTCTTTGAGCATCATGTTGGTGGTCAAAAAGTTTCAGATGTTTGGAGCACTTCAGATTTTGGATTTTCAAGTTAGGGACACTCAATGATACTCAACTCTGCTGTTGTACAATGAAAGCACCTATAGACAGTATTTTAGCATATGAACAAAGCTGTATTTCAATAAAACTTCATTTATAAAAATAAGTGATGGACTAGACCTGGCCATTGGGCATAGTCTGCCAACCACTGGTCTAGGAAAATTCCTCTCCCCACTTTCAGATCCCAATACCTCTAGTCTTGTGATATGAAAGGATCCAATCTTGGTCATTTGTGGTAACTCAATGATTCACTAAATTTGCAATTGTATAGGTAAGTTTTATTTTATTTTGTAATTAAAGAATTAAAATAAAAATGTATATCATCTCAAAATCTTCACCCTTTGAGAAAGTACATAGGTTGGTACACTTAACATTCATTGCAACTTGTTTTTTTTTTTTTGCGTGTGTGTGTGTGTGTGTGTGTGTGTGTGTGTCTGTAAAGACTAGAAAGTAAAACAGAATTCTTCATCTCCTTATAGCATAAAATAATTCTGGCCTGTGAGATAAAGAAAAAAAGTTTTCCTTCATGACAAAAATGGCAGAACCTTAGAAAGACAAGATTTACTCTTCTTCCTCTGTCCTTGCTGCTTTCTCTTGCCTGGATCGTGTATCTAATGTCTGAACCAGCTTGTGACCATGAGGAAGCAAGTCATGGAAGTAATGAAGGCAGAGCAGAAGAGAGAGTGATTCCCTGAAACTTTCACTTACATCCCACATCAGCCTTGGCCTCTGCCCACCTCCAGAATTCCTATTGTGGAGGAAGAATATCAAGAGTTTAAACCTTGCGTGTTGAGTTTTCTGTCAATTGCAGTTTAACGAAATCCTAACACAAATTTTAAAACAAAACAAATTTTGTTTTAAAAAATTTAAGGACAGAGGCCAGGTGCGGTGGCTCACTCCTGTAATCCCAGCACTGTGGGAGGCCGAGGCAGGCGGATCTCAAGGTCAGGAGATCGAGACCATCCTGGCTAACACAGTGAAACCCCATCTCTACTAAAAATACAAAAAAATTAGCTGGGCGTGGTGGCGGGCGCCTGTAGTCCCAGCTACTTGGGAGACTGAGGCAGGAGAATGGCATGAACCTGGGAGGCAAAGCTTGCAGTGAGCCAAGTTCACACCACTGCACTCCAGCCTGGGCGACAGAGCAAGACTCCGTCTCAAAAAAAAAAAAAAAAACTTTTAAGGACAGAAACAGTTTTCCAGGGGAAAATGGAACAGTTCATTTTAAAATAAAGCCAGAAAGAACATACATTCCTTGAGACACCAAAGACTCAATCAGGCTCAGGTGGGCACAGAAGATTTACCTAGTGATTAATAATTAACTTAATCTATTCTGTCTACTTTTGAATATATCCTAAAATCTCTAGAGTTAAACAAAAGAAAGAATAAACCAGATTTAGAGAAAGAAAAAGGGCCTTTTGCAAATAATGTATTCCAAGTTGGAGGTAGCTACACTCTATGTCTGTCCTGTGTAAGTGTTTTTGCTCACCTAGTTTTTAGGTTAAAATTTGTGCTTATTCGTCTTTATTATCAACAGAAGACTGAACATAATTCATTGGTTCAGTACTTGTTGAGCACAAGGTACTGGTAAGGTAGCAGTCTCTGCACTCAAATGGCAACAAACAAAGTGGGAAAAGGGTCACCTGATTCAACCACTGCAATGCCACCATGGAGCGGGAGGGATTGCTGTGACGGCTTGGAGGAAGAGACAGCTTAGGGAGGTGCACTGTCAGAGAGGCTTTCCAGAAGGAACAATGAAAGAAAGGAAGGCACATGTAGGTACTGTTGAGAAATAAAGATAGAGAAATATGCGAGATCCAAGAGCCTCACACATCATACCACTCTTTGAACTTTATCTCACAAGTTTTGGGAAGCCAAGGGCTATAGACTCAGATTTGTGGTACAGATGTGAATACAGATGAGATAGGGAGCTGGACCAGAAGGCTGGGAGTATGTAGCCACTGTTGATGAGACACAAAAAGGAGATGAAGGGTAGGAGAAAGGCCCCTAGGTTTGGAGGGGAGTCCTGCTGCTGGACTACCAAAGGGTCATGTCAAAGCTACCAAGAGTCAAGTTTTAAAGCCAACGTGAAGATGGAGACTGTTCCCAAGAATCACCATTGAAATTGAAAAATATTCACCTTGCTAATTTTAAAAGGCATTTCCCTGGTCAACTCTTTCACAAACTGACTTTCCCAGTTTCCTTTGAAGTAGATGGCATTCACGAGAATCAGCTTAGTCAATGAATCAACTGAATCTGGAGAGAGCATCTCTGTAATTTTACCTGTTAAGAAGAATTAAAGAACCATTTAGCTAAAAGTATTCCCTGATGATTTCATCAGGAGGGATATTCAGATTATGTCATCTGTTTGAGAAAGCAAGTATGCATGAAGGTAGTTCATGGTGTCCTAAAATATAACCATGTAAAGGGATGCTTATCCTCACAATGACCATAGTAACAACACTGCAACAAAAACTTGAAATAGAGCTCTTGTAATAAAAACATCACTATTTGAATAGAAAGCATAAAACAAACAGGTAGATATTAATGGGAAGAGGATGACCTGATAATATATAGCAAGGAATGATTGGTGCCTGTGGTTTAAAGAAATAAACATAAAAGACTGGCAAAAACGTGAGCAGTTGTAGCAAGCGTAAGAACAGTTTAAGAACTAAAGCCTAAAAAGGGCATGGCTGGCTGGATGCTGTGGCTCATGTCTGCAATCCCAGCACTTTGGGAGGCCGAGATGGGTGGATCGTTTGAAGTCAGGGGTTCAAGACCAGCCTGGCCAACATGGTGAAACCCTGCCTCTACTAAAAATACAAAAATTAGCTGGGCATGGTGGCAAGTGCCTGTAATCCCAGCTACTGGGAATGTTGAGGCAGGAGAACCTCTTGAACCCGGGAGACGGAGGTTGCAGTGAGCTAAGATCGTGTCACTTTACTCTAGCCTGGGCAACAGAGCAAGACTCTGTCTAAAAAAAAAAAAAAAGAAAGAAAAGAAAAAGAAAAGAAAAGAAACAAAAGAAAAGAAAAGACATGGCCAAGCATCCTGCCACATTACATAGATAAACCATAGTGCATAGGCAATACCAGAGAGGGAGGCCTTTAAATTCAAATGTTAATGCTATGTGTGAATAGAACCCTATCTAATATTAACAACAAAAATGTGTAGGTTCTTCTGGAAGAGATGTACTGCATATTGAGAGATATCACAGATAGATGACAAGAGCAGGGATAAAGCTAGAGAAAAGGTCTACACTCTGGCAATATTTCAGAAGCAAGTTTTTAAAGTTTGCATAGTTATTTAGAGAAAAAAAGCGCTCTTTGTCATATGTGACAGTTTTATGAAGAAACTGACTGTAAGACTGTTTGAAATATTATTGAAATAAAATACCAATATGTTTTCACCTTCAGTTTTTTCAGCAATCCAGTTATTTATGTGTGTTCTGGACTTCTCTGAATCATTCAGGAAATCAAGCTGCTTTAGCTTTGCTTGGTAGAATTTGCCACAGGAATCTGTAAAACACTAGGAAAAACTGAGCAACATAATATCACAGCTAACGAGATAATTAACACCAACAACTTACTTCTTCATTGTGACACCTCGGAAAATCAATAATTTTATTATTTATCATATATAAATTCCAAACAAGTGTGAGAAATTAACCTAAAGTCCAAATTCTTTTCAGCTATTCCTAATCTTAGCTTATAAACTAAGTAATACAGTGATCTGTGTATCAAATAATTTTCATCAACACAACTGCTGGATCTTTCAAGAGAGTGGCAATGCATCAATGAGATAATAAAAGGCACTGAGAAATCTCCCAGACGACATAACAATCCTTATATGTAAGCACCAAATAGAGGAGCATCAAGATACATAAGGCAAAAACAAATAGAACTGAAAGGAGAAATAGATAAATCCACTATTATAATTGGAGACTTCAACATCCCTCTATCGGTAGTGGATAGATCCAGAAAGCAGAAAATGTGTAAAAACATAGTTGAACTCAACAACAGTCAACAAAGAGATGGATATAATTGGCATTGACTACTTTATCCAACAGGAGCAGATTACACATTCTTCCCAAGCTTACATGCAACATTCACCAAAATAGACCACATTCTGGGCCATAAAACACATCTTAGCGTATTTAAAATAATAAACATCATTTTGATGTCTGCTTTCAGAGTGCAACGGAATTAATCTAGAAATCAATAAGAGAAAGATGGCTGAACAATTCAAAGGTACTTGGAGATTAAACAGTACACTTTTAAATAACACATGCATCAAAACAGAAATCTCAAAAGACACTAAAAACATTTTGAGCTAGGTGAAAGTGAAAACACACTGACAACACTAAATGCTGGCAAAAATGTGGAGCAACAGGAACTCTCATTCATTGCTGCTGGGAATGCAATATTGCACAGTAACTTTGGAAGACAGTCTGGCAGTTTCTTATAAAACTAAAAGTATGATTCAGCAATCATGACCCTTGGCATTTACCCAAAGGTGTGGAAAAAACCTGCATGCAAATATTCATAGCAGCTTTATTCATAATTGCCCAAGTTGGAAACAACTAAGCTGTCGCTCACCACTCTGGTGGGCATGTTAATAGTGGGAGAGGCTATGCATGTACCTTCTGCTCAATTTTTCTGTGAATCTAAAACTGCTTTAAAAAATAAAGTCTTTTTTTTTATTATTAAAAAAAAGGCTTCAAGACACTGTGACTATAGAATCTGTCACTTCTATAAACCATTACACTCGCTGACTAAGGATTTAACACAGCAAGTGCTATGTCTGCATCTATGTTTTAGAACAATGGAGTATGAAACTGGGTCTGTTGTTTCATCAATTAGATGAATAAAATATATACTCGTACACTAGCAATTTCTATCAGACCTTGCTGCAATGCTAGGAAAGTTGTAAACTCCAGTGTCCAGAGTGGTGTCACACAGAGCTACTGAATGCTAAAAATATGGCTAGTGGGACTGAGGAGGCAAACATTTACTTTAATTAATTGCTTTGAAACGTTCATAACCACATGTGGACAGTGGCTGTGATTCTGGCTGTTTTAGAGTATGATCAACTTTACAAAAAAAGCCCAGCCCTTTGGGAGACCGAGGCGGGCGGATCACCTGAGGTCAGGAGTTCAAGACCAGCCTAACCAGCATAGAGAAACTCCATCTCTACTAAAAATACAAAATTAGCTGGGCATGGTAGTGCATGCCTGTAATCCCAGCTACTGGGGATGTTGAGGCAGGAGAACTTCTTGAACCCGGGAGACGGAGGATGCGGTGAGCCGAGATCACACCATTGCACTCCAGCTTGGGCAACAAGAGCCCAGGCTCAAAAAAAAAAAAAAGTCCAAACTATAATCTGTTAATTTATTGGGTGGAATTATAGGATATTCATGAAAACCTACATTATGCCATATAAAAGCAGAATCTGTGGAGGAAATTAAATGGATTGAAATAATTAGTTTGTTGTTCACGCACTATGGAATTATTTCCTAAGCTTTCTCACCTACTGCTCACTGGTAAATATTTAATCCCCCTTTTCAGGTTTTGGTTTTTATTTCAAAATTTTATACTTCCATTTCAGTGCAGCATTGGAGAGGAAATATGACGGTAGTTATGAACACAAGTTCTGCAACTTATTAGCTGGGGGATATTCAAAAAATTGCTTAGTCTTTTTATGCCTCCATGTTCTCTCCTGTAGAACAGGGAAGCAGGAATAGCTTCACCTCACAAGATAACTGTGAATAACTGACGAATTATTTTCACTTTATCATGTAACATTTTTGAATTTTCAGTATGCTTCATGCATTGCATAACTGATCTGTATACATCATTTTATTTAATCCTCCCATAATTCAGGCTTTGCCAATTTTGCTGGCTCTGCTTGTTTCTCAATGGTTTCAAAATTGGTTAAATTTCTCAATCTAAGAAAACAATCTGAAAGAAAACTGATGAATCACATATTGATGACTTGTTGTGGCCCTAGGTGATGTTTTCAACTTTTAAACTTTTAAAAATAATTGTCAGTTAAATTAACTTACTATTTGAGAAGCCATGAAGAATAAAACTAAAAGAACATCTAATTATCTACTGCTGTTGGTCTTGGATTTTGGAAATACAAATAAATAAATAAATAAGAAATTAACGATAAATAGTTGACAAGTATTTCTCATTTCTTTATTTTGTATTACAATATCAAAACAACATGTTAACACCAATTTTTAAAAATATCCACCAAAAGTATATATTTATATGTTGGAGTTTTGTTTTTCTTTATACAGAAGGCTAATAAAAGGTGGTAATAACCTAAATAGTAGCTAAGACTATAAAAATAAGTGAAATACATCATAAAATCACACCATAATGTACAACTCTCATAAATATTCAACTTTATGCTTCACAGCCTTTCTTGTATACCAGCTGGTTTTGAAACAATTAATTTAGATTTTGAAACAAGTTTAAAAAATAATGAAAAAATCATATAACACAGTAAGAGTGATATCCTAAACACAAAGAATTCTTGTAAATCAATAAGAAAAACATCCAGCCCCATGGAAAATGTGCAAAGGAAATATAAATAGGTGATTCACAGAAAAGTTAGAAATGTTCAGTTCACATAGAATAGCTGTTCAACAATGGGAACACATGGACACAGGAAGGGGAACAACACACACTAGCACCAGGAGGGGCTTGGGGGTAAGGGGAGGGAGAGCATTAGGACAAATACCTAATGCACGTGGGGCTTAAAACCTAGATGACGGGTTGATAGGTGCAGCAAACCACCATGGCACAAGCATACTTATGTAACAAACCTACACGTTCCGCTCTTGTATCCTGGGAATGTAAAGTAAAACTTTTTAAAAATGCACTTAAATTTCACATTCTGCTCTGTAATATAAACAGCTGATTAAACAGTTTGATTAGAAAAAAAAACAAAAGCTGTTCAATTCCATTAATAATCAAAATGGTGTTTTTGGTGCTTTTCTTGCTTTATGGATATTAGCCCTTGTGTATCATATATGTTGTAATCATTTTATCTCAGGCTATCCTTTTTTTAACTTTTATTTTTGGTTCAGGAATACAGGTGCAGGTTTGTTATATAGGTAAATTGCATGTTGTGGGGGTTGGCGTAGAGATTACTTTGTCACCCATCACTAATAAGCATAGTACCTGTTAAGTAATTTTTGGATCCTCATCCTCCTCCACCCTCCACCCACAAGTTGGCCCGAGTATCTGTTGTTTTTTTTATTTGTGTCCATGTGTACTCAAAGTTTAGCTCCCACTTAAAAGTGAGAAAATGCAGTATTTGGTTTTTTGTTGCAGTGTTAGTTTGCTTAGGATAATGGATGTCCAGCTCCATCAATGTTTCTGCAAAGGATGTGATCTCATTCATTTTTATGGCTTCATTGTATTTCATTGTATATATGTAGCGCATTTTTAAAAATCCATTCTACCACTGATGGACATTTAGGTCGATGTTACGTCTTTGCTATTGTGAGTAGTGCTGCAATGAACATATGTGTGCATGTGTCTTTATGGTAGAAGAATTTATATTCCTTTGGGTACATACCCAATAATAGGATTGCTGGGTCAAATGGAAATTCTGTTTCAAGTTCTTTGAGAAAGCTTCAAATTGCTTTCCACAATGGCTGAACTAATTGACATCCCCACCAACTATTTACTTTCCTCTGTAGCCTTGCCAGCATCTGTTATTTTTTGACTTTTTAACAGTGGCCATTCTGACTGCTGTTTGATGGTATCTTATTGTGGTTTTGATTGGCATTTATCTAATGATTAGTGATGTTAAGCATTTTTTCATGTTTGTTGGCAACATATATGTCTTCTTTTGAAAAGTGTTCATATCCTTTGCCTACTTTTTAATGGAGTTATTTGTTTTTTGCATGTAAAACAAAATTCTTTAGATTCTGGATATTAGACTTTTATTGAATGTATATTTTGCAAATATTTTCTCCCATTCCGTAGGTTGTCTGCTTATTGTCTTGGCAGTTTTCTTGCTGTGCAGAAGATCTTAAGTTTAAATGGGTCCCATTTGTCGATTTTTGTTTTTGTTGCAGTTGCTTTTGGTGTTGTCATTGGGAAATATTTGCTAGTTCCTATGTCCAGGATGGTATTTCCTAGATTATCTTCAGAGATTTTATAGTTTTAGGTTTTACATTTAAGTCTTTAACCCATTTTGAGTTGATTTTTGTATATGGTGTAAGGAAGAAGTCCAGTTTCAATATTCTGCATATGGCTAGCCAGTTATCCCACACACATTTGTTGAATAAGAGTCCTTTCTCCATGGTTTGTTTTTGTCACATATCAGATGGTTGTAGGTGTGTAGCATTATTTCTGGGCTCTGAATCCTGTTCCATTGGTCATTGTGTCAGTTCTTTTACCAGTACCATGCTGTTCTGGTTACTGTAACCTTGGAGTATAATTTGAAGGCAGGTATGTGATGCCTTCAGCTTTGTTCTTTTTGCTCAGGACTGCCTTCACTATGTG